TGCCCCCCCCCCCCGCGCTCCCGGCACTCGCCAGCTCCACGGCCATGTGTACCAAGGAAGAAAGGAGTAAACTCAGCGCGCGTGCGCGCGCCTGCACCGCCAGCTTCACCGTCGCTCGCTCGCCCAGCTCGAGGTGCGCCTGTTTTCACACCGCGCCGCTGTGAAGAGGCGCCGTCCACAGCCGCCGAATCTATCTCGGCCGTCTCTCGGTCTTCTCTCGGCCATCTCTGGGCGATCTCTTCGGCCATATCTCGGCGATCTCTTCGGCCATATCTCGGCGATCTCTCGGCGATCTCTTCGGCCATATCTCGGCGATCTCTCGGTCATCTCTCGGCGATCTCTCGGCGATCTCTCGCCTGCGCCGCCCGCACGTACGCCTTAGCGTAGAGGTGGTCCATCTCGTACGCGAGAACCTGTGATTAACAAATTAATTAACCAGTCATTGAGGAAGTGGTCCATCTCGTACGCGAGGACCTGTTTAATTAACGCATCCATTAACGAATTGGTTAACCAATCATGGGTGGAGGTGCTCCATCGGTACGTACGCCCGCACCTATAAGCCAATGGATGCGATGCGTCCACTTCATCGTTCGATTCGTGCGTCGTCTCTCGGCGAATCTCGGCGAATCTCCGCCACCGAATCCTCCGCCGCCTGCTTCAGCATCTTGCGCGACTTGATCTTCAGCGCCGCAGCGGCGCGGTTGCCTATTAATTAATTAACGTGATTAATTAAAACTGCTTGCTATCAATTGACTCGACCTGTCAGGCGGATGCGAGATCGACCGAGATATGCGTCTTTGCGCGGGTTGAGTCGGATCGCCTCGGAGGAGAGGTCGTAGCAGCGCTGCCAGTCCTTCGCCTTGAACGCCTTGACTGCCTGGTCGTTGAACCCCTCCGCCGCCTCCCTCGCCCCCTCGCTCTGCGAAGTCAAGTCCGGCCGGCCCTTCGGCTTCGCGTACGCCTGTTCACAGCCAGCCTGTGAAGAGACGCCGCCCCCCCGCCCGCCCCTTCGGCTTCGCATACGCCGCCTTGGGCGCACCGCCGCCGCCGCTGCCGCCGCCGCCCCCGCCAAAGCCCACTCCTCCCACCGTCTCCCAAGGCCTCGCGTCCCTGTCTGCTCCCACCTGCGCCTTCGCCCCAAACTGGTCGAGCAAATCTTGAGTCTCGACGTGCCTCACAATCTGCCCTCCATACGCGTCGCCTGTTCAAAGCCCGCCGTCTGTGAAGTCGTCGCCGTCGCCTCGGCATCTCACCCCCCCAACCCGCGTCACCGGAAGCGCTGCCGTCGTATCCCAGCTCGGCCTTTCCTCTGTCCTCGAGCCCGCGCCTGCTCACACCTCCAGCCGTGAAGAGAAAACCGCCCCACCGCCCAGTGCCTTGGTCCTCGAGGCCCTCGCGTCGTGTGGTACGCCGAGCCGGTGTGCACGTGGTAGGACGGGTCCTGTTCACAGCTGCAGCCATGAAGCGACTCGACCTGTCGCCACCCCACTGGCGCTGGAAATGAATTGGTCCTCGCGGCTGCCCGCGTTCCACGGGATGGAGAGGTTGACGCCGAAGTCTTGGTGCGGCCGGTAGTCGCCCCGCTTTTTAAGCAGCATCTCGACCTGGTCAGGCCGTGGCACAATCTCGCGCAATCTCGTGGGTGTGCAGATGCACCAGATGGAATCTCGACCTGACCAAATCAGTAGCATCGCTAACCAGTGGCTGAAGAAGCTTGCGCGTCGAATGAGCAGCACGACGGGGCCTGGTAAGGGTCGGCGCCTGTTCACACCTCCAGCCGTGACGAGACGCCGCCCACGCCGTGGTCTGTGGTGTCAATCTCGTGCACTCTCGTGCACTCTCGTGCAATCTCGTGCACTCTCGTGCAATCTCGTGCAATCTCGCAATGGCGCCCTTGAGCGCCATCACCAGCACGTCCTCGAGCGACTGCATCGGGGGGATCGTGAAGGACTCGGACCACCTGAGAGATGGCGAGACATGGGGAGGTGTGCGGAGAGATAGGGGAGGTTTTTTCCGGAGGGAATTCTTGAAAGGGCCCTGGGACTTGAGAGGGGGAGTTTGAGGCCAAGGTACACTCTACAGAAGGCGGCGGGGGGCGGGGCTCTCTCCATCCCACATGAAAAGAGCCCGCCCAGTGCGCGTGTTGTGGGTGTGAGTGGGGGCGGGGCGGGGGGACCTGTTATCACTCGTCCGCACGAATGGGTCGCCGGATCGGGCCGCGGCGCGCGCTCGGCGAGGCCCGCCGTTTGTAGTCGAAGTTGTTTGTCGTCAGCGTATGGTACGCCGCGTTGACAGCCTTGAACACCTCCGCCGCCGCCTGGGGGGGCGAGATCGAGCCGAGATGCGGGGTCGAGCTTCTGAGACGTGTAGCTACCGGAGACCCCTTGCGTTGTTTTAAGTTACCACTTTGCGTTGTTCTGTGTTCTCTTTGCGAATCCTATGCGACCTGCGACCTCTCTGCGATCTCTCTGCGATCTCTCTGTGATCTCTCGGCGATCTCTCGGCGATCTCTCGGCGATCTCTCGGCGATCTCTCGGCTAGTCCTCCACCTCTGGCCGGCGGATGTTCTTGTCGGGGTGCCACTTGAGGCTCATCTTGCGGAACCGCATCTTCAGCTTCTCGAGGCTGCCTGCGGGAGGAAGTGTCTCGGAAGTGTCTCGGAAGTGTCTCTTCAGCTTCTCGAGGCTGCCTGCGGGAGGAAGGCTCCAGGCAGGCTCCCACGGGCTCCGAGAACGCGAAAGACAGTGACGTGTCTCGGAAGTGTCTCGGAAGCGTCTCGGTAGTGTCTCGGAAGCGTCTCGGTAGTGTCTCGGAGGCGTCTCGGGTTTCTCGCCTCGGTCGGGCGGCGCGATGCCGAGGAACTCGTACGCCGCGTCGACCGTCATAGGCAGCGGCGGCACCTGTCCCAAACGGTGTCGGCTTCGGACGCCTGTGGCGGCGCCGCTGCTGCCGCTGCCGCACAGAGAAGGTGTGCGTGTGCTGCGTGCGTGCGTGCTGCGCGAGCCGCGGCGGCTGCGTCTGCGGGGAGGCGGCGCGCCTTCGGCAGCGGCTCCTCCTTCTTCTTCTCCTCCTCCGCCTGCGCCTCCTTCTCCGCCTTCGACGGCCCAAACACGGCGCTCATGTCTGGGAGAGAAGCGGCATCGTACGGCACGCCCTCCTTGGCGTTCCGCTCCTCAAAGTAGGCGCCACCGCCCAAAGACATAGCGGCCCGCTGCGCGTGCGTGGAGCCTGTGTAGAGCGGTCACGCGGGCGGTCGCGCGGGCGGTGGCGGCGGCGAGAGCGGCGTCCGCTGCGAGCGGTGGTGAGAGACCGGACGCAGGCGAGGGCTGGCAGAGGTGCGTACGATACAGTGGCAATGGGTGTTTCTACTGCTGGAGGGGCGGAGGGTGGCAGGGAGGCGGGCGAGAACCCGCGAGGAGGCAGCCCGTTTTTGTGGGCCTGAAAAAAGAAGAATTCTGCCACGCCTCTCTCACAGCACACTGGCACGACAACACAGAGAATGACGCGACGGAGGAAGTGACAAGGGAGAGAACGACGAGAATGGGACGGCCGCGAGGTGGCATGAAGGTTGCAGCGAGAATCGGCGAGAGACTGCGAAAAGAGATAGGAAGAGGCAGACTCCCTAGGGTGGGCGACGGCTAGCGCATCACACTCCTCTCCTTAAAATCCCTGTGTGGTGGCGGCGTGCCGTCCTCCCATCCCTCCCTTGGGTTGTCTGTTTTCTTTCTTTCTTTCTTTTACTGGCACGACAAGGGTGCCGCGCTGGTCAAGGCGGCGTTGGCGAGGGCGGCCGCATTGAAGCAGGCGAACGCACGGACGGCGGGAGATGTAGCTGCTGACGCCGCAGTTCTTGGCACGGCAGATGAGCTGGCGAGCGCGCAAGCGGATGCTTCGACCCAAGAGGGGCAGAAGCTGGAGGACGCGAGTGCCCAGGCAACCGCAGCCCCTGCTGCTCCAACAGAGCCGGCAGCCGCCCTCCCCTCCGCCACCGATCTCGGCGTGAGCGAGGAGAAGCTGGAGAAGTGGCGCAAGTTCGGCGGTGGCGACCTCGAGCCGGTCCTCGCGAGCGGCGCCGTCGCCCTCCTCGACGCGCAGTGGATCATCCGCCACGCCGAGGCGGGCGGCGTCCTCACCCACCGCCAGGCGCTGCCCGAAGAGGCCTTCCTCTCCCTCGCCGACCTCGTCAAGGCGACCGGCGAGGATTGGCTTCCCGTCGCCGCGCTCTCCTACCCGTGGCTGACCAAGGACCACCCCGACCCGCTCGGAGCCAACCTCGCCCGCGTCGCAAGGGCGCTCAAGGCCCTGCTCAGCGATCCCGACCTCATCACGCGGCTCGGCGTCTTCTGGGACTTCGGCTCGCTGCACCAGCACCCCGACCCCGCCAACGGCGTCCTGCGCACCGAGGAGCAGAACGCGCTCTTCAAGCAGGGGCTGGGCTGCCTCGGCACGCTCTACTCCCACCAGCACACGTTCGTGCTGCGGCTGACCTCCTTCCCGGACGGCCACAAGGCGGAGGATCAGACCGAGGGCACCAACGTGGCCAAGTACTTTGACCGCGGCTGGTGCTTCACGGAGCAGTGCTGGGCGGGCCTGACAAAGGCCGGCTTCCTCTCGCTCGACCTCGGCAAGATGCGCGTCGGCACGGAGTACGGCATCGTCAGCCTCATTGACGACTGCAGAAAGGATGGCGGCCGGCGCCCTCCGCTGCTGCCGTCTGCGTTCGCGGCGGAGCTTGAGAAGAAGAGCTTCACCAACGGCAAGGAGGACTATCCGCTGGTGAAGGGGTTGTACAAGGACGCCTTCGAGGAGCAGTTTGGCAAGGCGACCGTGCTGGACTACACCGGCCTCGGCTGGGGCGACGCGGAGACGGCGCAGCTGGCGGAGGTCCTCGCGAGCGGGGCAGCGCCGCGGCTCGAGTACCTCGGGCTCGGCGGCAACAAGATTGGCGACGAGGGCTGCAAGGCGCTGGCCGCCGCCCTCGGCAAGGAGGGGGCAGCGCCGCGGCTCAAGACGCTCAATCTCGGCGGCAACCAGATTGGCGACGAGGGCTGCAAGGCGCTGGCCGCCGCCCTCAAGGAGGGGGCAGCGCCGCGGCTCAAGACGCTCAATCTCGGCGGCAACCAGATTGGCGACGAGGGCTGCAAGGCGCTGGCCGCCGCCCTCAAGGAGGGGGCCGCCCCGAGCTTGAAGGCGCGAGAGACGCCACCCCTCGCCACACGCCCCTCCCCCGCCCGATGCTCATCGCACCTCCCCACGCGTGCAGACGCTCTGGGTGCGCAACAAGAAGCAGCCTGAGCTGGTGGCCGTGTGCGAGGAGCGCGGCATCGACCACGAATGAGCCTCTCCAGCCCCGCCGGGCGGCAAGGGCGCGGGGCCCGGTGGGACCGTCGCGCGAGCACAGCAGAGAGCAGCAGACGCAGCCAGAGCTGGTGTCCGTGGCGAGGAGCGCGGCATCGCGCTGCGCTGAGCCGCCCCCGGGCGACACGAGCGATGGCTTGGGATGAGGGGGTTGGGATGATGCTTGATGGATGAGATTTGGTGTGTGCCGACAGCCGAGAGCCGACTGCGACTGGTGTGTGGGGTCGTGGTTTCGCATGGGGACGGTGGTTGCCCGTTGAGCAGTCACCCGCGGCCGGACTCAATCACGTTGCTGGGCGCTCAGACCCCCGACCCCTACCGGCGGGGGAACCGAATCCAGATCTGATGGCGGCCTCGTTGCAAGCGTGGCGGCGGCGCGTCGAGCCGCTGCTGCTGCTGCTCGCCGCGTCGGCGGCGCACTCGCTCGCCGTCGGCCGCGCCTCTGCGCCCTTCCTGCTGACCGCGCCTCGCCGCGCCGTCGCCTGCGCGCCGCGCATGGCCGCCGCACCGAGCGACGACGCGGACGGCGACGGCAAGGTGGCGCCGCTGCTGTCGCTCAAGTCCGGTCCGGGGATCGACCCGGTCGAGAGCGACGAGGACGACGCGGTCACGGACCCGCGGCTGCGCACCTTCGACGTCGGCCCCTTTGCCACCACGATCGGCCTCCGAGACAGGGACGCGGCCGAAGAGCCGAACTTTCTGCAGCGCGAGGACTGGTCGGTGGTGTCGACGTACTCGGCGGAGGAGCTGGCCGCGCTGTCGAGGGAGGCGCTCGAGACGAAGAGCGGCGCCGAGGCCATCGAGGAGGTGACGGAGGTGGAGACGGCGGAGTATGTGGAGCCGCAATACAAGTGCGAGCTCCGCCGAGATCCGCCGAGATCGGAGGAGATTGGTCGAGATCCGCCGAGACCGGCCGAGATCCGCCGAGATCGGTCGAGATCGGACGAGACTGGTGGAGACTGGTCGAGAAGGACGATGCATGGCGATGTCCGATCTCGACCATATCTCGCCCATATCTCGCCCATATCTG